TTTTTTTTTTTTGTGAGCATGCTCATCACAAACCTTTGTTTACTTTGCCATGGCCTGGCATGCTTCGCTCTTTGGCTCGTGAAGCTCACATGGCATCGCCTCTTCCCTGCCAGCAGGAGGTGCAGGCAGCTACAGAAGTGGTCTTGCCCTGTGAAGTGCAACGGTCTCTGAAGGCCCGCCTCCGGGGAAGAGGCAGCCGGTCTGCCGGCAGTCCAAGGGTCGCGACCCTAAACATTCCCAGATTGCACCTCTTCTGCGTCACGGCATGCCAGGCCTTAGAATGGTGGCGATGAGACAGCTCGCATCTTAGATGTCTTGTGTCCTGCTACATAATTAAGATCGTTGAGTGATCGGGTTGCCGGATGTAAGGAAGCAGAATGATGGCAAGTTCTTTCAGACCACCAAGCGCGGTGAAATTCAGGCACGTGCCTGCTCACATTGCTTGATTTCTTTACTGGATGATCTTGGCAAGCACGAGTGCTGCCCTCCGCTTCTACGGGCAGGAGCTCAAAGAAGAACTCCATGCGCACGACAAACAGAAGCAGAAAGACGCAGTCAAGAAGGCCCCGCACAACTGTTTTTCGCAAAGCATCCCATGTACATTTAGTGCAGGTCATCGCGAATATGACCGTTGGCAAGGATGTGTCCGCTCTCTTCGCAGATGTGGTCAACTGCATACAGTCGCATGCTAAGCACGTCACACGTTTCTGCAGACCAGCGGAATCTCACTGTTGCATTGTGTGCTTGAACGGTGTCTAATGAGGACAGACAACATCGAGCTGAAGAAGCTGGTTTACCTGTATGTGATGAACTATGCCAAGGTTGCAATGTTCCACTTTTGAAGCCAGTGGCACAGGCATCTAAAGGCTCGGGGCCGTAGCAGCTGGGTGCTGGGGAGGCCCAGCCAGAGCTTGCCATTCTTGCCATCAACACCTTCAGAAAGGCAGTATCTCATGCTTGGCACCTGGAGTTTTCTAGTCCCTGTGTGCTGCTTGAGGATGCCACGGATCAGAACCCTTTGATCCGGTCACTGGCCGCCTGAAACTGAGCTTACAAAGGTTGGTCACCACACCTTTTCATTCAAAGGCCAGATTCAGATGACACACGAGCTTGGTTCCTGAAAGTTGTACCTGCGCAACTCTGACGATCAACGTCGGTTCCATGTAGTTAGTCTTGCCAACACGAGGTGGTCATGGCGAATGCTGTCGTAACCATTTTTCTCATCTGTCGGGAGTATGATGTGTCATGTAGGTTTGATACACTTTTTCAAGCATCAACGTAAGCATGGCGCTTCGCCAACTTTGTGGTGCTTCAGGTCCGGACGATGGGTTGCATTCGGCTCGACCAGGTCTGCTGTGAGAGTCATCGCAACAGTTGCAGGATCGTCCTTGAGCTGGCAGGTCACGGAGTATCTGCTCGAGCCCTTGAGAAGATGTTGCCAGGCCACATTTTGTTCAGGGAAGCCAGGATATGTGATATTGAAATGTTGTGCAGGACCAGGATCCCTATGTCCGCAAGACCTCCGCGATTTGTATTCCAAAGGTCGCGTGGCATGTGGGACATGTGCAAAGCGGAAAGTGGGATTGCTAGTAGCTGAAGTAGGTTTACGACATCAATCCGGAGCTGGTGGAAGACCAGGGTTTCGTGGAGATCCTGAAGGTGGGGCAAGACATGTGGCAGATTCTGACTCCCACAGCGTGCTGCCAGGTTTAGCTTGCGATTTCTGTAGTTTTAGCAGTACTGTGTCAACACGGGGAAGTGCATGAGCGATTTGGCCATTGGTAAATCAAAAATTCGAAAGGGAGAGGCAGGGTGTCACATTTCCACAGAAAGCCTCCACCGTGTGAACTGGTAGTGGAGTTGTCAGTATGGAAAGTCTCCTGTGCACCTCAGTTTTGTTTTTGACTGGGCTTGTTGAATCACGGGCATGGCTATCCATGTTTGTCCTTAGTGTTATCATCACCATCGTTGTCGTCTTCACCATCGTCGTCATCAAGACATCATCATCATCACCACCAGCACCACCACCACCACCATCATCATCATCATCATCATCACCGCATGACGATGATGATGATGATGATGATGATGATGATGATGCTTCTCTTTGCTCTTCTGTGCCCGATACACACGAATTCAGTCGCTTTTTCTTGCGCTTGAAATGGTGCATCATCGTGCTTCGATGTTCTTCAGACATAATAATTGATCACTACATGCCCAAAGTTTTTCTCTCATCTCTGCAGGATCTTCTCGGAGACGGAAATCCGATGGCCGAGTCCTTAGCCCGTTTTTTCCAATCAGCCCCTGTGCTACAGCTTCAGGTTGTGGCCAATGCGGTCGCCGGTCTTGCTGAGATTTCTCAGACCTGCGGCAAGGATCTGCTAGATTTGGACAAGGCCGCGAGTTGAGACGAGATGACTTGGAGATCTGCTCTAGTCAGCTTCTGGATGCGTACAGGGCAACATCCACAAGCTCTTGGCAGCTCTCAATGAGTGCAACGAGTGGGGCCAGGCTAAGCTTGCAAAGGATCAATGTAATTCTTAGCTTGAAGCCTCGTCATGAAAAAAGAGCCCGCAGGTGTTCATCCTGGACGCTATCGCGACCTATGGTGCGGGCTTTCTTGTTTCCATGCTACTTGAACACTTGTGAGAATTTTTAGAGACTTCTGCCCAGAACCCTCTGGACCCAATGACTCCGAGTCCATCACGGAGCGTGTCACCGCAAGGACTGAAAGCCACATCAGGAAGAGGCACATGGCACGCGTGCCTAGCCTGTCAGGCTCTCCCATGCAAACCCTGCTGTGGTCATCGCAGCCATTAAGGCTATCTTTCCAAAGGCTTAGAGGATCTCCTTCCCAGCTACTTTGTTTCTTGCAGGTGATCCTCAGGTGCATGGAGCATATTGAGAATTCAGAGGCCTTCACGTTCTTGCTTTGGCTACATGTAGTTATGCTGCCGGGCAGAGGTTCTTCGCCTGTTGGCAAAGAAGCTGAACCCTCCTTTGGTCACTCTCCTTTCCAGCGAGTCAGAGGCTGGAAGCTGCCAGTCACTGCTAGTCGGGTTGCTGCCAACCTTGCCAGTCAGAAAAGGTCACTCGGTCATAATCAGTCTATCTGGGCTGACGTTATCAGTCCATCGTTGAGGTTAAAGTCGTTGCGTGCGCAGCATGGAGTCATGGGGTCAAGAGAGGTCCAGTATGTTGCCTTGCGCAACATCCGACTAATAGCCGGGTGCTGAGAATTTTGGCGTTCCGTAAGGCAGGGTGACATGGATTTAGAGATGCCGATGAGCTTGCCGCCAAGGTCCAGAAGAGACCAGGCATTCTAGCATCCGATGCTGCCTGACGTTCTTAGTGGCTGCTTCGGGGCCAGTTTGCTGCTATGGTTCATCCGAGGTGAAAATGTTCTTCTGCAAGTACAACGATCCCATCTATGTCAAGCTGGAGAAGGTTGCGACCACGCATGGCACAGGTGACTCTTGCATAGATTCCGTGAGCTTGGCAGGTAGACATCATGTGCATGCTCGTCAGCGACAAGAACTTTGATCAGGCAAGGCGTTGTCTTCGTTGACAATTTTGGATTTCTTCAGCTAACATGCTAAAGAGAACGTTAAGCATCGTTAAGCAACCCTGGTGGGGGGGGGGAGGCGTCGAAGACCGTTCCCTCAGTCACTAAACTGTCGTGGAAGCTGCGTCGCAATGAAGCAGGGAACTTGAGCATGCCTGGCTTAACCTTCCTCCCTAAGCTTAGTGTGCTGGCTGTCCTGCTGCTGCTATTCTTCTCTTGTCTGAAATAGCGAAGAAACATCATGGACTGGAGAAAGGTCAGCTCCCCAAGCAAAACCTCTCGGATTTGCACTTCCGCGTTCCCAAATTTTCACATGGCAGGTTCTTTTGGAGCTCAAGGAGTATGCGTCTGGCATTTTCCTTTGATTGAGATTGTTCAACAGCATTTGGATATCCATTTGAAATCGGAACTTTCCACCAGTTTCCGGGTGCATCAGGTGTGGATGTTGAATTCGTGCGGAAGTCTGTGCGATCGATAGGCCGAGTTGCCGCAGCTTGGCTTTCCAGAAAGCATTTGTAGGTGTTTCAGCTAATACCAAACAAATGTCATGTCATGTCATTCAGTTGAATGTTGATAGGCCAGTACCTGCCCCAGCAAGCGTGCCTCAAAGTCTCAATTTGCAAATTGCTTGGAAAGGTCAAGCTCGAGCGTGCATGTGAGCGTGCCATCAACGTGCTGCTAGAGCTCATCGAAACCAAGGACTGCTTGCATAGCTTGAGCTACTGCAACGAGTCAGTCAGACACGCATGTCACGATGTGAGTGCATCGCAGGTCAATTACGTCGTTCAGGAGGCATGTGTTGTGGTGAAGGACCCTGCTTCGCAGGTAAGGTAACTATCTGCAAGGAGCGGTCTGTGCTGTTCTGGAGGACATATTCCGGAAGTACCCTTCTCGCTACGAGCAGGCTGCTCTAAAGCGTGGGCGAGCACAGGAACATTACCCTGAAGATGGCAGGTGCTGTCCGCACTCTGTGAGTCCATGGAGGTCTTGGATGAGCCAGAAGCCAAGGCAAGAAGTTCTGTGCTTTTGTTGCTTCAATTGCCAATTGCTTCTTCGCAGATTTGTGGCAGACATGTGGCGAAGTGGGCAGGCTTCCATGATTTGGATCCTCGGCGAGTACGCTGGCAGGCCATCCGCCGCACTCATGCCCGTCCCCCCTCAAACGGCATCTGGCAAGGATTGACAATGCCGATGAACTGCTAGAGTCATTCCTGGACACGTTCCATGACGAACCGCTCATGGTACGACCCTGTAGAGATTTTCTCAGCATTCACCTGTGACTTGTGATGTTTCTATTGGTTAGGTCCAAGTTCAGCTTCTGACTGCGATCGTCAAGCTTTTTCTTCAGACCCTGGGCGTGCAGATTGCTGTCAAGATGCCCAAGAATTACAACATATCCCAACATAAACTACCTCGATGTGCCAAGGAAACCGTCTTCGACGCAGGACATGGTGTCGAAGGTGCTCAAGTGCGCAACAGAGGAGACCTGGAAGTTAGGCAGTAGCTTGACCAGCATGCCGTACAGTATGCTCAGTCATTTTAGTTGCATTGCAGGAATCCACAAATCATGACCTTCGGGATAGAGGCCTGCATTAAAACAAGTTTGTCTTTCAAACCTCAAGCGTCACCTGCTCATGCAGGTTATGTCTACTGGCGGTTACTGTCAACCAACCCAGAAGCCACAAAACGAGTGGTGGACTTCTTGGATCAATGTTCTTGTTTTCTGGTCCTTCAAGCAGGACAGCGGAAGCTTGTGTAAGCTTGCAAGGTTCTGGGCGACAAGCCCTCGATCCGAGATGATTCACAGGCCTTGCCAAAAGTGCATAATGGCAGAGTCTATGGTAGAGTGAATTTGCATTTCATGTCATGACCTAGTGTGGAAGCAGCAGGAGCATAGGCAGACATCGCATTTTTTGTTTTGCATGATACAAACATTCAAGACTGGCCAGTCGCTCGACAAGAACTTGCTAGACAAGCTGTCCAGTGAGCTGTCGCTTATGAGCAGTGCTGGAGTCCTATGCGAAATTCACCTGCGTGCAGTACTTTGCAATACTTGTTTGGATCATGTTGCGGCTCAGGTGTATCACAGGTATCCTGAGGAGTTTGTCACAAGGTCGGCCTGTGTCTCAAGACCCTTCAGTGCTTTCCTACCTTTAGCTGCAGTCATTGCAGTTGTAGCACTTGGTAATCGTGTGCAGGCTGACGCTGGCGACCACCACGTCGGTTGATGACAAAGCCGCACAGGATCGCTTGTTTCAGTGGACCTACTCAAAAGCACGTGGGCAATATTTCCTCACCACAAAGGCTGATGTTTTTGGTGAGGGCGTGTATATGCTGGGCTCAGCAAGAGATATGTAGTGATTCTGCTGAAGTATTGTGTTACCGCATCACAGCGAGCGCAATTGTTTGTAGAGTTTGTTGATTCACATGGTAGGACGAGGATTACGATGAGGAGGACCGGCAAGCCAGGCGAAGAGAGGCCCGAGGGAGCTGACATGGTCTGGGACTGCTGCTGTGCTGTGCAGGTTAGCGATTTGTGCACTGTACAGGTCCAGGAGGAGCTGGAGCGCGGACCAGACTCCTCCAGGCAACGGGCCTCAAAAATGACGAAAAGGGTTCCATGGCAGGTCACACACAAACTGCTTAAGCCTTCAGCCTTTGTCTTCGCTTCCAGGAATGGCACCTCTGCAGGAGGTGGTGGGTGTTCCTCTCAGCAGACAGCAACCCAAAAACATACTTGACATGTGCCATCTCATGTTATGACCCGTGTAGGCTAGACCTACTCGACCTCGGTGGTGTCGGCGACGACAGCCCTGGAACACGCAATGCCAACGTCCCAGCAGGGCGGCGAACCACGCAGGCGTGCAGGATCATGGAAGCAGTGCCAGCTCACAAGCCAGGCACCAGCGCAGGCAGTGCAGAAAGTGGCAGTGCTGCCACCAACGCAACCAGGACTCCCTGCGTATCTGTTTTCCCTAATTGTGGCACTGCAATTCATGTCATATGCTCCGCAGGGCAACATGGCAACCAGGGCTTCGCTGTCTCTGCAGCTTTCATCAGACAAAGGCTCCCGGCAACAGGCTTCAAGATGAATGCTGTCACTGTGACCGCAGCTTCGCGTGAAGGGGGACGCCCACTCTTCTGATGACTTTCTCGAATAGCAGCCCTGCAACATTGAATGGTTTTGCCATCCAGGCTCATTTGCTACACGGTTTTTCTCCTTCAGGACTGTTTGTTCTGTTCAGGTGAACAAGAACCCATTTGGCTTTGCTCCCAAAGAGCAGCCATCGCCTTGGGTCCCTGCACATCACTGGATCTGGAGCTTGCTTCCTCCACTAAGGTTAGCATGCCCCGACATAAATCCGGGATCATCTGCCGAGGCATCGGGAGGTCAATGTGTCTTCTGAAGCCGCGGCACATGTGGGCAACGGCTTCGAGTTCGTGTGTTGAGTTCGCGAGCGGAAGGTCTCTGTGGCCATGGCTCCCGGTCAGCTTCCAAGTTCCGGACCCGGAACGTGAAGAACCAGCGCGCAGATGCAGAAGCTTCCGTGCTGGTTGCAGGCAACACTCCACCGACCAACCCACTTCTACTACAGGTGCCATATGCGCATCATGGCCGAGTTGAGACTGGATTGTACTGCAGGTTGCAATAAAAACATCACTCGACATCTTCTATTTCCACGTACAATTCGACTTAGCAGCCTGGGCCTGATGTGGAAATGTGCTTTGGGATTTAGAGTCAAAGAGTTCCACCAAGGCCGTCTTGCTGGAGAACACCGCCCTGAGCAGGGAGGAGTTCACACCAATATGGCAGAGGGTCAGCCCCCATCTTTGCATCTCCGCTGTGCGTCCAAATTCCTGCGTTCATCCTACAGTCATCAGGTGGGCGAAGCAGGTCAAAAGGTCCATGCGATTAGCGTGGACAGACCTCTAGACCCTGAGTCGGCGTGAGACTCAGAACCCGCACGAGGTGGCGTTGCGTTTGATTGCCGAGCAATACAAGGTGAAAAGCCGACTTGCCCTAGATAATGTCCACTACGTCGCTCAGCGGCAGGCACTTGGGCTTACAAGGAAGTGTGCTGCTGCGCTGATTTGTGCGGCAGGTAGATGATGGCTCAGTGCTGCTGTACACCTCAGCTCAGACACTGAATAATTGTGACTCGGCAGCAGCTTGAGCCTCATGGCAGCGAGACTGAGTGATTGAAGCCAGGTTCGGTTCTTTCAGAAGTCACCGTTAGCGGGGCCCCTGGTACAACTTGAAGCTCAGTTGATGCAGCTAGGTGAAACCCAGTGAGGCAGCAACGACCTGTAATTTTGACAGGTCCTGGTAGCAACAGCATCAAGGTGGCTACTCGCAAACTCCTCATGTGGTCTGCATCGTTGTGCGTGTTGCATCTTACGCAGCATGTGCTCGAAAAATCGGGAACGTAAGCGGATGCTTCCAGGCACGGAGACGCAGGTGTTGGTACCTCTATATGAGGCCATGCTGAGCAAAAGATTTGCTAGTGGCTAGCCAATGCGAGGTAAGATCTTAGACTCGTTTCCGAAGAGGTTGACACAAGATGCTGGCCTCGTCAAAGAAGCGTTGCATGGTTTGTGCTGATTGCTTTTTTGGCATGGTCAGAGAGAAGAAAGAGATGTATTCGCGAGGCAACGATTTGCGACCCCCAATTCCGAAGCAACACGCAAGTTTCTGGCTCATCTGCGTGGCTCATCTGCGTATATCGCTACATCATCCTTTGCCACACATGGCGATCATTTGGGCCACTTCTGGCAACTACTGCAAGACCTTGTGTGTGTGTGTGTGTGCGAGCCAAGATGCTCCACCATGCAGGCTTCACAGGTTGGAATTCGCGGCTGTTGACAAAGACAGGGAGGCCCAGTAGAAGGCTGATACTGATAAGGCCAACCCGAACTACCAGAGGCGTATGGAGGGCAGCGCTCGTGTAGGGAGTTCTTCTTAATAGCCAATTTGTTCTTTGGAATGCATTCTGGGAGGAATGTATGGGAGGTGTGCAGAAGAGATTTGTTCATGCTTGGCCAAGTCTCAAGGGCGTTTTCAAATCTTTAGTACAGAAAAAGGTGGAGGCAGCTTTGGGCTGAGCGCTACTGCAGGAATGGCTGATGATCGGAATGGCTAGTATTTGGCTGCAATGCTTGCTAGATTGAAAGGTTGGCCTGAAGTGCAAACTTCTAGACATGCTGCCCCACAGATCATGGATAGGGCGTGTGGGTGCGCGTCAGTTGATAAACGGCAGACTTGGAAGTATCGGTGCAAACCCTGACAGATGCCTCAGAAAATGCAATCTGTGTGAAGAGAAGTGTTTCTCTGCCGCCCTGGGCCCAGAAAGAGAACAACAGCAGAGCAGAAGTGACAAGCCTCCGAGTAGGTCTTGTGTTTTCTAAAGCTTAGCGTCATGGTAAATCGATACGCAGCGAAGTAGACGTCACTTGTGATCATTTGAGCCCCAGGGCTTCTCCCACTCCACCAAGCTCAGCAGACAACACAGATATTTGCAGCTGCCATGGCGCTCATTGCTGAGGTCCTTCCTGAGAGCTTGAATCAGAGACCGCCCTGCATAGAACCTCAATGTACGATGTTCGGGAACAAATGGTTTTGGGTATCAAATCCTGTCGCCTCGAAGAGCACTAAAAGCACTGGACGTGTGCTATTGTTCTATCTGCAAGTTGTATGAACTGCGAGGCAATACCCCTTAGAGCACCGGCGCTGCCTTCTGCGAGGCAATCCGCTTCCTTTGCAGTTGCTCGGCCACACGTGTTCTCTGGCATCCGTTGCAAGGTGCAGGGTGCGACGTGCTCAAGACCCAGTCGGCAGGCAGAGTTGGCTGCAGATCCCTCATGCTGCACCATGCCGTATCATGACGCTCTTTCTTTGATGTGCCGTTCCTGCAGGCTCGCTCCAAAGCTCGGGCGGGCGGTGCGAGAAGAACATCAGAAGCGAAGCCGGTTCTCAAGACAACGCAAGGGTCCAGCGAGATTCACGTAAAGATGTGATCGGCTTCCAGGGATTGTTTACGATTGCTCGCTTGCCTGAGCCCGCAATCTAGTGGACATAGCTTGCGATCTGGAGCCACAGAACATTTGCTGTGCTTCGAGGCTTGCCGTCAGTGCTTGCAGCGGGTGCCACGCTATTGGCGTCGAGTGTCACGGCCAAGAGGCCGCATTTATGCAAGATTCGCATGGGCAAACTTGCACAGATCTTTACGGAAGGATTCTCTTAGAAAGCTTACTCGAAGTCGAGACCTGCCGACGCTGCCTGAAGTCGTGAAACCAGGCGGACGGCGGGAACACGGGCTGCCGTGGCACTGAGGGTACTGGCTCTCAGCTTGTGGCGTGTGGGGTGTGTTGGGCGGCAAGGTGACTGAGAGACGTTTCTGCATTTGATTCAGTCATCATCTTCAGCCTCTCTTGCATGTAGTCCTGCGATGATTTTCGATGCAATTTGCAGATTGTCCGCTTTCTTTCCATGGATCCTCCTGTCCTTTGACATGAAGTGTGGTCGCGTGTGGCATTCAAAGATGTAATTGCTCCGGCTCAGGACGTGGGCAGTTGCCTCTTCGCCATAGCAATGTCAAAGGAGTATGCAGAATGCAGCATAATTTTTCCGTACAGAAAGCAGCCTGCAACCAGAGCTTGCCGTAGTTGCTTGGTGCCATGGACCTGCCCCGGCCGATGAACGTGGCGCATGTCATAGAGCACTTCCTTGCCCTTGGACGACTTCACTTAATTCACTTGCTCGATCAAGTTGATGATCATATTGGGCGAGCTGTAGAAGCTAACGGACGACGCGGCCAAAATCAGCTGCGTCAAGCTAGCGCCCTTAGCGTGGCCTTGCTGAGTAGCCTGGCTGCTGGGGCATTAATTTGCCGGGGTTTACTGGCACTCAGCCGAGCTTTCACATATTTGGCTGTTTCGTTGTTTCTTTGCTCTGGCCGAATTCTGCAAGCGGCAGCACCGCACCTGACAGCCATCGGCCTCATCCTGTACACGAACCGTTTGTTGCAGAGCTCCGTGCTTCGCCAGGAGTGGCTTGATTTCTGGCAACATTGGTCAAGGCAACTTCTTTCATGTTTGGGCCTTGGTGCACATGTACAGACCACAGAATGCCCAATTTGTGCCAGCAGCGTGGAAGATGATCCATGGACCCTCGCAAGACTTGCTTGCTGCAACAAGTCAGTGTGCTGGGAATGCGTGCGAAGCCATGCTGAAAGTGTCATTGATGACTCACGGCCGCTGATGGCATGCCCGATGCTGTGTAAAGCTCCACTTCCGGATGTCGTAGTGTTCACAGCACTCCGCCGACACCAGTGGTCCTGGAAGGGACTTGACCTGCTTGGACGCCAAACCCGCCGGAAGAAGCATGCCTATGAGCGCTGGTGCCTCTCCAGCGGCCTGGCCGCGAGCTGTGCAGTGCGAATGGAGGACGTCGTCCATTGCCCAGGCAGCGAGTGCAATCACATGTGGGTCCTCCCGAAGGCCCTGAGACGTGCAAAAGCTGCACAGGCCGGAAGCGGAAGCGCTGTGCGTATGTTCTTCTCGTTCTTCATTATCCCCGTAAGATTCAGGTGGACTTCAGGTAGACTCCCGGTAGACTCTGAGCGTCTCGTACGCTAATTGTCGAATCGACCTATTTGAACATGAGCTGGCTATACTTGACAAGCTGTTTGGTGCTGTGCAGGAACCTGGCAGTCGATGGGATCCGCGCTCTTGGTCTGTTGGCCGGCACATGGGACTCTATGTGCCGCCGAAAGAAGATGGCCATGATGAACGCTGCGTGAGCTGTCCTAGCTGCAAGGTCCAGTATTGTCTGTTGTGCTCCCAGGTGCCGTGCCTGCATCGTAGTATCACGGGTATTGTTTCCCCTGGTGATGTTTTCTTTACCACATGCATGAAAAGAGAGATGAGGTGTGGGAGTCCTACGGCAAAGCGCATGAGGGCAAGTCTTGCCTGGAGTTCGACGCAACGCTGCCTGCGGCCCTGCGTTCGAAGGATCGCCACTGGGCCGGTGCAAAGGCGTGTCCAGGTTGTGGGGTGCGAACCTTGCGCTCGATGGGTTGTAACCACATGACGTGCACTCAGTGTGCTATGCATTGGTGCTGGGTTTGCGGCAAACCCTGGCAACCGTGGCACTATGGTTGCACCCAGAATGCTCAGCCGACTGGAGACTGCTCTTTGATGTAAAAAGGTGGGAGAGATGGCATTGTTTTTTTGCTGGCCTCGACACAGCACTTGCCGTATTGCCTTATCCAGCCCGGGCCTCTCTGGCACCTTGCCAAGGCGCCGAGAACCCTGGATGCCTCCGGACTTTTTGAGGACCTTTTCCAGAGGCTTTACGAAGCTTTGAGATGACATACCTTTCCGCATGACCTGGGTCTCGTGTTGACGTGCCAGGTCTAAGTTGCCGGGACGCGTGCTGGCGAATCTTCCTTCCGCTGTGCCGATGCCGGTACGCCTGCACATCTCCAGCCATGGTTTGAGCATGGGTGTGGGCTGCGTGGCTTGTTGTCAGATTCTTAGCGTCTACACAGCGCTGCCGTTGCTTGCTGTCCTGGCTGCTGCTATGTGCCCAAGGTGGGGCATCCAGAAGACTTTGTGCCTCTGTTAGGTTTTGTCTTGACCAACTGGTCAGGCACACGCGGCTGGCCCAGGGCCTCGCGAGTGCTCTGGGCTGCCTCTTAGGCGCTAGAGACATGACATGTTGCTCTGCACCTCCGCGCATGTCCAGTTTTTGCTCGTCGAGGAACTCTCGTTGGAGCGTTCCTGAAGCAAGGCAAAAAGGCCTGCACTTTCAACCAAGATATGTGGAATCTGCAGGATGTCCTGTGTCGTGCAGGACGCTGCCAGCTGTGCCATAGCCCGGCTTCTCTCGGATCACATCCTGGAGGTCAGTGTGCCTTCGGAAGTTTTGTTTAGCTTTCATGTTGCTTCAGCCTTGCTTCCAGGATATGCCGGCTGAGGAGTTGCGAAGCCTCATTCATCGCCAGCGAAGGACTTGTGAGCATGGGATTCTCGTGTTGCGGCGGTAATCATAGCGGCTCAATAGCTTTTTGTTCCTGACCAGGCGATTTGGCGTTGCTGCAAACAGTCGCTCGAGCTGCTGTCCCAAATCTTCCAGCTGCTATGTCAGCCTTTGCAGCATTTCCCCCGTCAGGCGAGAGTTGGGAAGATAGTTCCCTTCAGAAAATTTACGAGGCTCGCGGGATTTTGACCATGCGATGCAGTGTGCGAACCTTGTGGACTCTGACAAAGGAGTTGCTGGTAAAGCTTCTGGATGGACCTGAACACGACCCCTACGACCTGCCAACGCTGCAAAGACTAAAGGAGACGACCCCGGCTGTTCTGCAAGAGCTGTTGTAGTTGACAAAGTGTTCTTGGGTTGACATCGATTTTTTTTCATGAGCAGTTGAGGCTGTGCTCGACCTTGATGGCATTGTCGTGGGCAATGCCCATAGGCCTGACTTGTAAAAACCAATTACTAAACTCGTGCTTTGCGTTTCTCTGCTCTTCGCCAGGCATGCTGCGCAACTGCTGGTTTCGAAGGGATACTCCGGACTGGAGGCACTGGAAGCATATGGAAGCATTGGAGAAGGGTTTCGAGTTACTTGATGAAACAATGGCGTTGACAGGGTGAGCCTATGCGCATTGCCACCGACAAGCTGCTTTTTCTGTCACAGCGAGCCTTTGCCGACGAGGAGCCCGAGGACGCAGACAGGGGCTTCTTTTCTGAGAGCGTCCAATCCAACTCTCGCCCTGATGGAAGCCTCAGGAAGCATCGCGGTACGAGATGGGGAGGCTTTGCCAGGCTGATGCTGTTCTGCTATGGAATCATAAGCTGTGACGGTTGCCTAGTCTGGTGCGGGCCGTGTGAGGTCCTTGAAGTTTCCGACAAAGATGCAAAAAAGCGTGTACAAGCTGTCTCGCGGGCATTGTATCAGCAGGACTGCTTCTGCAAGTGCCGCATGTAGTGCATTTCCTGGCATCCTGGCGGACCACACAAAAGACTTCAAGCTTGAGTTTCTGCATGTCCTGGATTCTACTTGTACATTTGGCTTGGGACTTTGGTTCCACGAATGTACGCCTGCTTAGTTCTGTATTGAATGTTTCGCGCTGCCTCGCTCTCTGCGCGTCAATCATGTGCTGTTCAAGTGGGAAGCGAAGTACGCGCATGCATGATGCGCTTTTCAGCAGTAGGCCTGTCGTGCTGTTTTACACTGTGCTGCACTTTCAACACGCTTGGAATTCCAATCCACCAGCTAATTGCCATGAATATCCGCGGGTGGATTCAATGATTTAGCGAGGGGTCTGCCAAGGCAAGGCAGCAAGCCGGAAATGCAAAGCCAGGACTTGTTTCGCATGACATCTCATCAGTCATTTTCATTTCGTCTTCGTGGTAAATTTGCGAGACCAGGCCATAACCGCCATAAGCGCATGCCTCTGCGTCTGGCATCAGAATCAGCTCGATTTCAGGGAACCGGATGCCCTGGAAATTGGTTCGAGGATCGTAAAAGCTCGCAGAAAAACATTTTTTTGGTGCGACCCAGGCCAGGCGCCTCAGCGGATTTCACTGACAGCTTGATTCAGAGAATATCAGACCACTGATCATCTGCAAGACCATTCCAGGTCAGATAGAATCGGTGCAAAGCTTGAGAGTTATGTGAGCAGCTCACATGTCCTGGCAGAACCTGAGCGCGGTTGCGGACAAGGCGAGGAGGATACGCATTCGACTTCTGAATCTTGGTGCGCCACGTATCTACAGTCTATCTGAATCTTGCTGTGCGTCAAAGAATCCTGGGGTTGCTCACGCCGCGGCCGTCAGCACAGCAGCTGGGAACAGCGTCAATTGGACGTCTGCAGGATCTGGTAGGTCGATCATCTGTCGCCAGCCATGGAATATGGTCAAATACCATCTGATGCTGGTGAACCTGGGTTGCACTTGGAGATATCAGAGCTGGGAGGGTAAGATCAAGTGTGGGAAGGCAGAGCTGGAATACGTTTTGTTCAGCCGGAGGCGTATCATCATTGACTCCTGCGTTGTTTGACATCTCTTGCTGAGCTCAGACGCTGAGACTGAGGCCAGTGCCCGCGATGCTGCAATGGTCGTAGTGGCGGAGGAGGGAATGAAAGCATAAATCACTCTTTGAGGAAGGTGGAACATTTTGGATGTGCTCGCTCGGTCTAGGATCCAGAAGATGTCCTGGTTGAAGAAGAGCTGACGCTGCAGCCAGCCGTCCAGCAAGCACGCCTCTACCGGTGGAAGGTTCCACGCATGTAAGTCTGTCTTGAGAGATCCTGGGAATGATCACAAGTATCTCGCAGGTTGCTGGCATTTCCTTGGCCACCCTTGCCCTTGGAGCCGCTGTGCTCTTCATGGCCGACCCCTGCCACACAATGCTGCATTCGGTGTTCAAAGTCCAACCCTTAGGCTTGCAGAGCCTTGTGCAGTGGAGCAGCATGTAGGATATCATAGCATATAGCACTCTTAGGCATCACCGCTTCAGCTCTCAGAGGAAGACCAGATTGAGTCCGCTGCGAAGACGCTCCGCAGTGTAGCCCGTCCAGATGAAGAGATAGACGGGAAAACATTGCCTTTTTTAGTTTTTGAATTCACGCTCCAGATGTGTTATGCATCTGCATCTTCCGATGCCATTATTCCTGTGAAGATTGGTTGATATTACAGTTGGCAGAGCTGTACATGTGTGAGGTGAAGACCAGGGCGGAAGCTGATGCAATGGTGGCCAGGGCATTGATGGCGGCAAAGGAGGAAAGGAGCAAGCACCACAAGCTTGCGCAGCTTCCGCCAAGCCTCCGCACCTTGGGGGGCTATGCGACAACGGCGCCACCGGTGGCGGCGAACGCGGTGTCACATCCAAATCCTTATTTTCATTTTCAGAATGCAGAGCTGTGGAAGAATGCCAAAGTCCTGGATGCGGAAGCTCGAGCAAACCCGAACTCCTATCTAAACATCCGAGATCCGGACCTGAGGACTCAAGAAAACTTTCGTCAAGCCTTCTGTGTCTTCAATGCCGTTGAAACGATTGACAGCATGGGTGGTACCGCACTGGATATTGAAGGCATTGTTCATACATGTCCAGAACCTCGCAATGATGTTGGTGAGTTTGCTTGTACTGTGAATTCCGAAACTTTGACAGAGATGGTGGGGAGTGCTGCCACCTGGTTGTCTAATGCGGTTTCCACATGTGGCGTCCTTCCCAGTGTCTTCAGCTCAGTTGCTGTTGCAGTCGTGATGCAAGCTCCCCTTCCCGTGGCCCCGTAGCCTCTTCAACTCTAGTTGCATCAAGGCCAGCGCAGAGTGTGGCGCAGCAGTCTCTGGCATTGTCGCCGCGCTTGGTGAGATTGGAGCGAGCACAAGTCTGGCAATGACGGCTTGTAAGCAGTATCCTTTGGCAGGCCATGCAGTGATTGGATCCAACAGAACATGCGGTGCTAGTGACTGCTACTTGTAAGTGTTGAGTAGTGCTCAACTCCAGGATTCCGAACCGCCGAGCGCAAGTGCATCAACAGTGACTGCGTCCAGTCGCCTGGACCTCTCACGTCCCAGGCAGGACGTCAGGACCCGGGCCGGCGTCTCTTCATCGGGACAGGCATTGGCGGCATGGGAGTTCAGTGTGCTGTGGATGTCGGCTTCATTATTGACAACATCTATGACTCGATCTTCTTCATTCAGCAGGCAGCAAACCTGAACTTTTGCAGCAAGAATGTTCGCTATGGACCATACAACTACCTCACAGGGGTGCCGGAGGCAGCCTGTGCCATGGACATTGCTGGTGCCATTGCCTGGATTACGCAAGTTGCCACTTTCGTTGAACAGCTCGTGAGTCACTGCCCCGACCTGCTGAACCTTCCTACGCTTTGTGGATCCAGTGCCACGGGAATGTTTTCTGCAGCATCGCAGATTGCATCCTGGGGATCTGGCATATCCATAGGTTGCGCAAGCGGAGAGAGCTTGACTCGGCTTCCAGCCGCCTTCGAACTTGCCATATACAAGTACATCGCGCACAGGGAAGTGGGGTTTGTGAAGCTCTGCTCAAAAGCCTTGGATTCGTTCGGCGTGTCGTGCGAATGGGTCCAAGAGGCCACCAACAGCTCCAATCTCTTGCTCGACTTGCTGGGCACTCGCGATGGTGCCAAGCTGCAAATAGCCTGGATAGGTAAGTCAAATGCCTTGTACCCGGGTTGGTGATTATCAAGTCTTGCCCTGTTGCAGGTCTCTTGCTCGCGGAGGCTCAGATTCGCATGAGTGGCTTGCAGGTGCCGGGATTCAAGACATTGACATTCGTATCAAGGAAGGTTTTGCCGGTCTATGGTCGACGGCTCGAGGATGGCAGTGTCGAATACAGTGCGGAGCAGAATGAAGAGTACGAGAGAGCGCAGCAGCTGGAGGACGAGATCAACGCCAAGTGGGATCCTGTGAACCACCCCAAGATGAAGGCATTGCGGGAGGCGATGAGAGAGCTAATGGACCGTCGGAAGGAGTTCACCAAACTTGACGGCCATCCCACACAGAACTTGACTCGTGCAAATCTCCAGGAAAAGCTCCACTTGATCGAGCCAGCTTTGGAGAAGTCAATGTTTGACCGAGACACATGTTAGTGAGCCAATGCAAAGAGTGATAAGAGTGTAATTGTACTTTGTGCTGCTGACCTTCGTAGGAGCATGGTTTTCTCATCAAGAGTATCTAGTTGCGATGTTGCTATCCGTGGTCCTGTCTGCCCTGATGCTCTTTTGAAAGGTCAGTCTTTTTTCTAATTGACCTGAAACGGTCGTGCACCAGGCATCCATCTCCAGGCCAATGCAAGCTTTCTCTGCCGAACATATGCGGCAGGAATGACACTGACACGAGCACAGACTGATCCAGTTTCACTCCGAAGAGGGTGGATGCCGCCAGAGAAAATTGCCGAACCGTTCTTTGCATTGCCTGTGCGTTTGCGATCTGGTGCAGGTTTTTTGGAACGTGCCATGGTCAGCAGCTGTGAGTGGCAAGATATGCCAGGTTGATGCACATACAGGTGAAGCCTTGGCTGGAGCTCAGATGGCATTTGGCAGAGACCGGCAAGTTTGCCTGCGATACGTTGCCCAAGTGCGGTGGCTGCGGCATTTTTGTTCTCCGTGATGGGATCTGCCAGGGCTGGCAGGTGAAGAGGCAGAGCGGATGAATCTGGACACGTGCCCCTTGTTTCTACCATCGCCTACCTGATCTGTCGTGTGTGCTAGAACACAGAAACCTTTGACGCGCATGCAGGTACAAGGAGATAGCAAAAGCTAGCTTCCCAGCAGTTGTAGCAATGGATAACGCAGAAGATGTGCTGTGACTTGGGAGTCTTGTAACATACGGTACCGAGGCACAGCTTTCTGGCGGTGTCCTGACTTCCGAGGGTCGAGCCACCCTAGAGCAAGCCAGAGGCATCATGCACATGCATGTGCGCAGCACCAGCCAAGCAGTTCAGTGCAGTGCAGTGCAGAACGCGACAAGTGAAACAGGAACCGCAGCTTTCTTCTGCTCAAGAGTTTTCATTGCCATGAATGTCTTCCCGTGGCCAGACCGAATCTTGGAGATCCGGTCTTCGGGAAGGCATTTCTGAAGATTTGCATGCATATTTGCTTGAAGGCTGCGTCTGGTTGAAGGGGATTGTGTGTAGAGTCTAGACTTGTCTAGAGGTGTCCATCGCCTGCGACATGAGCTTCAGCACGTGCAGCTGCCGAACTACAAGACGGTTGATGGCGAGAGCTTGCCATGGGAAAGGCAGGGCACATAGCGACACATGACCTTCGACAGGGATCCCTTTCCAAGTCTTATCAGCGACGTTTCATCTGCCCAGGCAACCGGCATTGCCAAAAGGCAAATAGGAAAGCTTCTCAAATCGCCAAGGTCCCCGGCCGGCACGGAAGCATCGCTGCTGCGGTTCCTCACAGCCCGCAATGGCGATGTCAGGGCAGCCAAGAAGATGCAGCTTGACAGACCAGCAGACTAGCAAACACTGCGGGACACTGCCAAAGACTGCCCAAGACCCAGGTTTGAAGGCCATTTGGCGTGGAGGCTCGTCGATATGTCAGATACACAGTCAAATATATGCCTCATACACATCCTGCACTCGGCAGGCAGAAGATTTTTCCCATTCCGCGGGAAGGCTTGACGGCCAAATTGTTGGATGAAGAAGTTCGTTTCCGCCGCCTAAGAGAAGACAGCGATGGCTGCCCTGTGCCGTTCCAAGCTTCTGTACATTCTTTTGTTGATGGGGTCTTGCAGAGAGAGATCTTGTCAACAGACTAAATCCAAAACATCTCATCAAGTCATGTGCTTGTGTTTTTAAGCCTGGCTGGGGCAGGTGTTTGCAGTGTGTTTTCCGAGGCTCCAAGGGAACAATTGTCAGTCATCAACCTGTGTGACCAGCACGAGCTTGTGAGTGGGCAGCCATGACAATGTCTCATGCCGTCCTAGCCGAAGGGTTTTGGCTTAAGGGCCAGCCTGTGCTATGCCGGGGTCATGGTTTTCTTTGACCGGAGACCCAGAAGCTTGGAAAGGCTGTGAACTGGGCCCGGGTGACTACGTGGAGTTCCAAGTGTCAAGGCAATATTCTGGCGAGGGTGGATAAGGTCGGGGCCAGGATGCGGAAAGGCCAGTGAACTGAGTTGACCTTCCTGGCAGCCCAAGATGAGCATCTGGCGTGGTGGCTTGACGATGGTGGCAGGAAGGGCGGCAACTGGCAATTTGAGCTTCACCTCTGCACTGGCAATCAGCGAGCTTGCCGAGAAAATCGCCGAGGGCGAGGAAAGGATTTCCATACGGATCGTTTCAGGGTACTCGCGATGGGTGATCTTGCAGACAACAAAGTGGAGTGGTGGCCAAAGGACCTCGCCAAAGTACGTCAAAGAAGAGCTTGATCGCCTCACGGAGGCAGGTGAGGGAGCTGGTCATCCGGATGCTGCGCCCAGCAGGCTTGGACCGAGAAAGTCAAAAGGGGACAAGCCCAAAGCGCCAGAGGGGGACTGGTTTGGCCAAGGCCAGACGAAGCCTCCGCTGGACACGTCCGAGTCAGATGGATCGCCCAGCGGTTCTTCTGATTCGGAGGACGGAAAAGGAAGGAAGCAAAAGAAAAACAAGAAGAAAAGGAAAGAGAAGGCTTCGGATAGGGGACCATTCGGGGCAGGTCCTAGAGTCTCCTACTAGGGTGTGGTCTCGGACGATTCCTCAGATGAAGAGCAGCTTTTTCGCGAAGCCCCCTCCTCTCAAAGCGAAGAGCTTGCAACTCTAGAGTTGGGAGTATTCCCTCAAGAGGCCAGGAACAGCTCCTGCAGAAAATGCAGACCCTGGTAGCCAGCGAGGGGGGGGCGACGCGTCTTTACAACGCGGGATCATTGACACCACCGTCACCAGCAACTGCGTGCTCATGGTGCTAGCGCTGACCCGTCGGATGCTCATGTCCGAACCCTAGCTCTGGCGCTTGACCGCGTAGGAGCAGCTCAGCGCCACAGCGTGGCCGGAGGATCAAGGCGACGGAGCTTTTTTCCTTGCGGACAAACGGGCTCAGTAGATGAGCTCGCGGAGGTCGGCGCTGGGAATCTTCTCTCGCCATCATTGCGATCCAGGGGGCTTCTGGGCGCCGAGCCCACTTCTTTGGCCTCAGCAACAACTACTCCCGGCAAAGATGTTTTACCGATCCACGCGGCGCTCATTAACGAGGGCATTGAGGGCATTACTGGGGAGAACAAGGATTGGGTCAAGTCAGCTCTCCTGTCACTCAATTTCATCTACTGCGCGGCCCAGTTTGCGTGCCGATGGGAGCGACGCCTTCAGCCACCCAGAAGGGGGTGACGCGAATGGGGCAGACCATTGAGCGGTTCTTGGCTCGACAGAGTTTCTACAGCCCCCGAGTCAGCCGCCGCCTTGAAACTCAAGAAGTATGATTACTCGGCGAGCCTGTGGAGCACATGCAGACCTTGGACTCCGTGAAGGTCATGGCGTGGTGAACTTTAAGGAGTCAAGACCGTTGGCAACCGCGTTGAGTTGGCCCAGCGCAAACGATGCAATGAGGCTTCTTCCTTGGAGCCCAAGACTCATTGCCCTATGTGGAACAGCTTACAGGAGTCCTGGCAGAACCGGACACGTGCCTAGTCATCGACTTGGAAAACCTCCAGTCAGCGTTTTATCTCTTCAGACCGCCTCCTTCCTGGGCACCCTGTATCTCTTTCGCGCAAATAGTGCGGCGAGATGCGCAGGATCAAGTGCGGTTATGGTGCGGCCCGGCCTTCGGGCCTTCGGGTCGCGCTGATGGGGTGGACACGCGCAGTCACTGATCCAGGCAGCCATTGCCGCGTCGCGTACACCATCGCCAAAGTTCCCTCTAGAGGAGATGTCAGTCGACAGACCCCTTACCTTGACAACTTTCATGAGATTCAGCGTCTCAAGAAGGAGATCTCTGGCAGAGGAGGGGAGCCCGGCCCCGAATCATATCAAATTCGCCAACACGACGCCTGTGACGACCTTGCAGATTTTTTGTGTCCGACTTGGGCGGGGAAGGCCGCCTTTGCCAGGCTTCAGGCGACCTTTGTGCTTTTTCTCCAAGAGGTCTATGAGATGCTTGGGTGGCCTCGCGACTCCAAGGTTGTCAGGCTGCCTCCCCCGTGTGTGATGAGGCCATGTGCTTTTCCCTTTCACGGAGACTGAGCTCAAGTCACCCTAAAAGGGCGGGAAACAAGCGTTGCCTCCACGTTCAAGACCAAGTTCTTGGGAATTCCGGACGCACTGGAGCCCGCAGCAGGCCCTCCGACGGAGAGTTTTGGCTGTCCCCGTCAATGTAGACTCAAGACGTGCTCCGCCCACTGTGCCATCCATGGCAGGCCTGCAGACCCCCAAATTTGGGGAGGGGTTTTCGGGGCCGCAGTTTCACTGGCCTGAAAGGTCTCACGGCGGACAAGCGCAAAGGGGTGCTTGACTACCTGGAGGCGGAGGGCGCCAGACTGTAAAACCTTTTCCCAGGCACAGGGTCAACTGTGTCAGATTGCCTCGGTGGACGGACCTCCTGCCTTCCGTGACGATGCACGCCCTGAGAAACTTCCCAGTCTGAGTCGTTACGACGCCGTCACGGTTAGACAAGGCAAGGCAACGCCGTGGCGAAGAGGTCGATTCGAGGCTTGCTCGATGCGGAGGATTGCTCGAGCATCCGCGGCGCTCGTGCATGTGGTACCTGCCAGAAGCAAGACCCCTCTACGGAGGTGTGTGGTGGGGAAGATCATCCTCACCTCGTCTTAACCGCCTCTGTCGCGGCATTGCTGTCCTGGAAAACGCTGCTGCCCTGATCCCTTGACTTTGTGGACAATCTCTAAGTGGAACTTCTCTGATGGCGCCTCGAAGAATTTCCAACCGAAATGGTCACTTGCGATTTTTCACGGACAAAAACCAGGCGCAGTTAAGAAAAGACAATTTTGAACCTTGTTCAATTACTCACGCCCTACGGGGCAGACTGCTGGCAAACCTTGTTGTCTTGGATGAGGAGCTTGCTGAGTGCTGAATATGTCGGGTGAGCACGTCTTCCTTGCTGGCTGGACCATTTCAGGCCTCAAACGTTCATGCCTCGCTGCAAGTTTCATTTGCAAACTCCGCAGCTTTTTCTCGCAATTGGCAGCGAGTCCACCTACCACGCCGCGCTACACCTTTGTCATGGCTGCAAAAGCTATGGCCGCTGTGGCTTGTCAAGTTGGCAGGTTGGACCTCGCAATCCTCAGTTTGATTGGGTTCTCTTTCTTTCTGAGAACAATTAGCTTTTGAGCCTACAGACATTTTGACCATTTTCGACTTTTAAAGAATGAAGGCACCGTCTTCATTGCAATAATCAATTCTACGACTTCGCGGGGCCTGCAACAGTCACTGTCGCTGTATGAGCCATCCATGGTGGCTGTTTTGGACTACCTGTGCAGCCGGTCACGGACCCAGGGACACATTTTTCGTAGCTCTCCCCTGGCTTTTCGCTCAGCCTCAGCTGCCTTGGTACGATCAGTTGGTTTGGAACACTTTGGAACCATTTGACTATCTTCCATATTGCCTGCGCAGGGGACGAGCCACACACTTTTACCAATCAACTCAATCCTTGGGACGCATTAGGTGTGCGGAAAATGGCGTGATCAACAAACATGCAGGATCTCGTGTTGATGATGCAAGGGCAACCTCGATTCAACGTTTGCTGCCCGCCCATTGACGGGTGGCTACGCCAGCTTAATTTGTGTTCGGACAAGTTGGAATTGGAGGTTGGTGCAAGGCCGACTTCGTGGCTGCCAGTTGGAGGCCTCCCAAGAAGAAGACGGGCCAGCAAGGAAAGGGTTTGTACATTGGCCTGATAGGCCTTCACCAACTTGACCTAATGCCGGCCTCCCTGGAAAAAATGGGCTGCCTCTTGCATGAAAATAATTTGTGTGACCAGCATGAGCTTGTGAGTGCGCAGTCATGACACTTTCTCATGCCGTCGGACTTGAAGGGGCTTGGCTTCCACCGCCACCCTTCCTCCACAAGTGCTAGGCCAATTTCGTGGCTCCCAGCTGGAGGATTTCCAAGGGAGAGACGGGCCACGGCCAGCCTCCCTGGAAAAACGATGGGCTGATTCTTGCATAAAAAAACCAATTCTACTGCTGTCTTCTTGCTGTCAGCTTTCACAAAACCACAAAACGGCTAATCTTGACAGCTGGTGTAGATTTGCCGGTTGCCAGCCCGTTTCAAATGGATGTGAGAAGGCCGACCCTGTTGAGGTTCTTCTTGTCAACTTTCTCTTCGGTGCTTTCAAAACCCAGGCCGGCGACATCCCACAACTCTTTTCCCAGAATGGTCGCTGCTGCTCGTGTTTGTTTGCCAGGAGGTCTCGGAGGCCGCCTTGGTGTTGGCGGCCATCAGGTTCTTTGAGGACAACATCGATTCCATGGAAAGGCATGGTGTACATCAAATAAGTAGCTGGGCAAGCAAGCCTTTGCATGGAGCTAAAGTGCATGGGCTTTCACTGCAATTCTGCAGCTCTTTGCTTGGTTTCACCCGGAACAACGACCAGACTTCACAGAGTCAGGTACGCTTGTGTTTGGATCCCCACCGCCCGTGGCTTGGGCACATGTGACCCGTGGCTATGTGAGAGACGTTGCGGGGGTTGCTTCATGTCTTGCCGGGACTTGAGAAGGCATGTGTGTTTGTGACCGAGGATGGTGTCAGTATTCCAGAACAACTACCCAGAGCGATTGAAGGTTGCAATTGTTTACCCGGTGCCTGCATCATTCGTCTCCCTGGTGCGTCAAGTCATGTGGCGTCCCGGCTTGACCAACTCCCTTAGCGCTTCAAGCCTTGACTTCAGAGATCTATGTCTGATCTGCTAGCTTTTCAGCAATGCGTCCATACAGGTTTGTCGATGAAAACACCCGTTCAAAGGTTGAGTCTAGGTTGCAAGTTGGGGGGTTCTGTTCGGTAAGTACCTTGCCCATGGGTCCTGGCTTCTGCCTGAGGACATGGAAACTGAAGAGCAGCCGCTTCTGGCTAGATTTGGTTACCGCCCAGATGACCTACCTCCAGAGATACGCGGTGGCTATCGTGGTGTTGGGGAGCGATGGAAGCCTGATGTTTTTTGGTCTTCAGTGGAAAGCTTGACGGGGTGATATTAGTTGCACGAGCTTGTAATGGTATTGCGTTGTGGAGTATATGTTGGTCGTAAGCATTGGTACTGAGGCTGGCAAGCTTCTCAGAATGGCCTATGCTTTTTTATGGCCGCATGGACGGCAAGTGGCAGACCTAGAAACCATTATCTACCAAGCAGCACGGGCTGCTGAGCCTGAAAACGGATCCAAGGCTGGGTGGGATGAGCTTGCAAAATACATTGCAAACGATACTGTGCAAAGGATGCAGCTACTTGTCTTTGCAGGTTTACCCTGCCCCAGAAGAACCTGCCTGGCCTTCCTCTAAGCTGTTCTTGAGGAAAAGGTTAAACATGCGAATCACTTTGAGAGCCGTGTGCAGCTGCCCGTTGCTCCATTTGACGAGGTCATGGCTATGGTCCTGCTGTTCGCAGAGAGGGTCATACGTGCCTGAAGACTTTGCACCAACTGCTGAGCTTTTCCATGACGCTGCGGAAGCTGTTGACGTCAATGTCACTAATGGCCACGTCTTCAGCATCTGCGAGGTTTTGACGAGGTTCAGGTGTGTAGGTGCAATAGCTGACGAGCGCAAGGTCTGTCAGCACCGCGTGACACCAGCACCGGAGACAACGCAGGCTGGCATTGGTATAGCATCGGTTCCCCGGCGCTTGTTGTTGGACCCGTGAGAGGTTGGCTCTCAGTGGTTCTTCGAACAAGCGCCATACTGCTGATTCTGTTCTGCTTCCTCTGGCTCCTGGCCCGTCCAAGCTCCTTGATTGCATTTTGTGCACTTCTTGTCAACGCTCGCTGGCCTTGGGCCTCTCAGGAAGCGAGATCTCCGCTCTGGAGCTGTGATGCCATAGGGAAATCGCTGCAACTCCCGCGCTCGGACGCACCAGAGCAGGTCCAGGCCAAGAAGGCATGGCACATGCCGCCAGCAGCCTGCAGATCAACGCGGCCCTCCGAAACATGCGCAGGGACTGAGCATGGCCCATCATCGAGCGTACGTGTTGGATCCTGGCAATCGTTTGCTGGACGCGGACACGCGTCCGAAAAAAAAGGAGTTGCGATCTTACGTTTACAGGAGCAAAGGTGATTATGACAGTCTGCAGCAATCAGCAATATTGAGCTTGAGCTGATTAAGAATTGCCGAGAATTGGAAGGCGTTCTGCAGCTCGCGGACAAAGCAGCCTCCGCAGCCTTTGCTGCAGTGTCGGGCCCAATCCTTCATGAGGCTGGGATCGAAAAGTCAATGTGTGCGTGAGCAAAACACTGCGACGCCAGTGGAGGAGCTGCAAACGATTCTGCCGAGCTTGAAGGAGTGCTCTAAGCTGGGTTCTGGGTTCTTGCCCTTTGTTTTGCAAATTCAGGATTAGTTTTTTTTTGCCTTTCCAGGCTTGGAGCAGGAGCTTCGAGCCACAGAATGTGGAATAGATTCTTGCATTCACTGGCAAGCAAATACAACAGGCAGCAAGAGACCAAGTGTAGCTACCACCATACAGCTGGAAGGTCATGAAATTCATCAACCATTCACCGAGTTGCGCCGAGGTGTAGATGAAGATAGGTCATTATTCAGCAAGAGTGCAGGACCAGGCTGTGTCAGAGGACAAGATCAAAGAGTTTTCGACGACTCTGGCCAAAAGGGGGGAGGACGGCGCTGCTGTCAGCTACTGCATAGTACAAGCTGGCGGTTGCAAAGCAGGTCCATGCAGGGCCTGTTGAATCTCTGCAGGAAGTTGGTCTCTCTAGCGCGTCTACCTTCACCAGTGTTCGGAAGGACGGCTACCTTTGATAAAGTCATGCAAAGCCCTGAAGCCATGTCATGTGAAGCCACTGCTTCAACGCGAGTGCGTTTCTTGGGTCCTGCTGTGACGCTGCGCGTGGAAGCTGCAGGCTCTTCAAGATACCTTGCGGTCCACCTACAACACTGCGTGCAAGGCCAGGACTTTCTGTGAGGCCTTGAGTTGAAGAAATACAAACATCAACACATTCAACACGTGCATCCTTCTGACCCAGGAAGCCCGCACCAGTGCGACAAAGGCGCTGAAGACCATGGATGAGGCGAGCCTAGCAATCACAGGATGCGCGCCTGCGAAGTTTTCTGGAAAGACATGGGGGGCTACAGATTGCGACGTTTGCGGGTTTGCACCCTCAAATGCACTGCCTGAAACCTGCAAACATGACAGCAGGCTTCGTAAGACCTTGACATACTTTGACTGTGTGAATGCGAACCCAATGTCCGAATAAAGATTGTGGACAGATGACTGCGCTGACCAAAGCTTCAGACATGCTGCTAAAGCAGATGCTGGCCAGTTTCTCAGGGCAGCAATGCTTGGGGTGCCATGATACCTTGCCCAAGCGTGCCCAAGCGAGGCTGGGTTGGAGGAAGCCGAGGAAGAAGTGGAGGCTCTTTGGGCCCTGTCTTCGCAAGCTGACATGGCATTGGGTGCCAGGATGGGCGCCTAACGCTCACGGCTGACCCCTTGCCTGGAAGACGGCTGCAGTCCAAGCGCGAGCACCTACTCAGCCCACAGGTCCATGTCTCTGCCTTGAGGCTCTATGGCCTCTACCTGGAGAGATCCCTAAAAGGGGAGGCTCTTTCAAATCCTTTGTGAAGCTTCGGGATGATGTCTTTGCCAGGCACCTGCCGCCCCTGGTCCTGACCAGTTTGCCAGTATTCTCGAGCTCTCAGAGGCGCTAACTGCTGGTGGGTCTTTGCTTTGCCAAGGGCAACTCCTTCACAACCCACATTCATGCTGTGCGATGGTGTCGAATCCACCTCATCGATAGCAAGCCTCAGATCGGGTTATTGAGCATATCTCAAGGCTGCTCAGGATTCAGGGTCCAGAGGCGAAGAGCGGACAGCAAGACCCGTTACATAGGCCCATCTATCCTATTTTTGCACTCACATGCCCTCTGTCTCTGTGAGCTGATGACAAGGATGCCGCTGCCGCCACCAACATCACCACCAACACCACCACCACCACCACCACCACCACCACCAACAACAACAACAACAACAACAATCATAATCTCTAACAGCATGCCAATCAAAAGGTGGGAACGAGAGCTTGTGAATCCTGATGTCACCAAACAGCTCCAAGCTCACAAAGGGCACACCTTGAGCTACCCAGGGCACCGTGTCCGTGGTTCCAAGAGCTCAAACACGGAAAGCCCCAAGGCGAGAATTCCTAAGACTGACTAGGCCAGTTCTAGGCTATACTGTACGTTTATGGCGGTTGAACGCCCTGATTGACAGAGATAGCAATTACAACTGGCCGACTGTGCTAGCACTAGCGCAATGGCCACCAGGCCCCCTCAGACCAAGCAGAATGGAAGCTTGGCGTCGGGAAAAATGGTTCGAAAGACCGGCACCAGCACCAGCACCAGCACCAGCTGATGGTTGATGCAAATTAGGCCAATCCCTGGCTTAGTCAAAACATGCACTTGAACCCACCATCCTGCGCAGCAATCGTGCGCACAAGACCATTGTGCCAGGTGGAACCGCCATCCTACCGCCCTGGTTTGAAACTACGATTCCTTTTGGCCAGCTTGCATGGAGACGAAAGACGCCGCTGCGACGAAACGTGCTTTGCCGCCAGGCGCCGGTCATTGCAGGAGATGCTGGCCGACATGGGCCGCACCTTCCCGGAGCCAAGGTTTCAGTGTTGCGGCTGAGAGACTTCTGCGTCTCAACTCTCACGCTTTTTCCGAATGCTGAAGGAGCTAAGCTGTGGAAAATGCTTAGGGCCCATGAGCCAGTGGCAGTTCGTGCCCAGGCCTCGATCAAGTTGGCACCCTCGTCTGCAACACACCGATAAGGCTGCGGGTCCCCGGAATATCCGGACCTGTGCAATTTAAACATGGATTGCACGGAACAATGAATCTTTTCGTTCCAACTGCCATGGCAGCTTGCCCAACATTCCTATGGCGTTTTCAATGCATGCGTTCAATCCCAAAATTGCAATCAGCACCTATGTGACATCTGTTAACCCACCGGAAAACCAACGCTGAACGCAACTGAAAGCAACTACGGGACTTGCAGAAAGCCCAGCACTCAGCACCAATCCTTGGCTGACAGGAGATGTTGTCTGCTCTAAAGTTTTAGGGCCTCTTCACGCACGCAAGCAGAGGCCAAAGAGTTGGTATCCTTTACTACACTCTCTATGAGCTGGGCAAGCTGAAGACAACCTCCTCAGCGGGCCGAGGAGCGATTTGTTGTCACAAGTGCTTCCAATGCTGGAGTCAAAGCTTGGTGACGGGCATATTGCGGTCGCGACCTCGATTTGCAAGAAGCGACGCGCCAGCTACTTGAAGGCTCAGTCATTGGAGGGATCAAGAATTGAATCGCTACATGCGTAACCTCAAAGAGCAATGACATCTTGCAGATGACATAGCCAAAGTGCACTCGTCCATTCTCCAGTCAGCAGGAAATTTCCTACACAATTTCGAATCAAGGAGTCTAGTATCCAAACAAAGACTAAAGGGCCTTCCAAACTTCCTCTGGCAAGGAAAAGCAGTGAAGCACGATACGAGAACCAACTTCTCCCAACTCTAGTTTAATAGCCAGGTGTCCAGAGGCACAGTACCCACAAAGCTGCCGTCGATGCCGCAGTGCAGTACAGGAGAGGGCCCTGCCATGGAAAATCCGAAGGAAGCATTCCTGGGCAGTGCTAGGATCTCACAACTCTCATCTGCACATGGTCCTACCTTACCGTTACTCAAAGGGCCTGGAACCTGAAAGCAAAGCCTGCCTGAAAGCAAAAAAACGGAGTGGAGGAGGGAGGGGCTGAAGTGCAGAGGGGATCAGTACCGCATGCAAACCTCACAGCAACCTATAGTCGTCGTGGACACACCACAAAAGCTACACCTCCCTAACCGCCGTAACCGCCGCACAGCAGCACTGTGCAAGTCTCCAGGGTCAGCTTCCCCGTGCAGTCATGCTGAATTCCTCGCATAGTGGGAAGGCCAGTCCTGCAAATGACAGGCGCCCAAAAGTAAACATGAAGCTGTTCCCAATGCATCTGCATAGCAACTGTCGAAACAACAACCCATGAGCTAGGCGACCTGTGCATGAGCTTCAACTCAATCCACCTCAGAACCCTAGTGTGACTTTATTCTAGTTCCTTTAGTATTGTTGCGCAGAGCTTTCGCTATCACATTCGGCATCAACCCCTGTAGTCGGCTGTGAGGTCACGAGTGTTCCTACACACCTTGCGAGACGTTCTTGTCCCCAGCTTGCCCACACCCCTAACAGCCCTAAAGCCCTATCTGCAGATCCATGGCTTAAGCATAATTTCCTCAAGAATCTGCAGCAGCCTGAACTACCGGTGTCGGTCATAAAGTGTCCCAACTATCGTCTGCATGATCATGGTCAAAACCGATCCACTACAATTTCTACCAGAGCCGTTGCTCGCCCTTAAGACTTACTCTTGTGATAATGCTTCATATTGCCATCACCACGAACTTTGAAGAACTGCCCCGGGCAAGTCGCGAACGTCCTGCAAGGTTTGCCTGTGCAGGTCGGAATGATAGAGGTCCCAGCAGGCGTCTGGCTCTGATACCTGCAAATTCGGTCCGATTCTAGCCGTCAGCCTTCAGAGCAACAGGCCTCCAGTAGAAGCCAGCTGCAGGCGGGTAAATTCCCATAGGTCTCCCACACAACTCCCATATGCTCCTGCGACTACCCGGTGGAAGCGCCCTTTCACCTGATGGCTTTGCGCCCGCTGCTGCTCAACAGTGTGGCAGGCGTGGCACTTGCCCAAAATATATTTCTTCGCCAACTCAGGAATTTTGAGCAGGCTTTCCCCAGATCAACGGTACATGCTTTCAATAGGCGCTTAAGGGGGGAGCGGAGTTCAAACACATCACGCATATAACGCCATCAAATCCTTTTACCAGCATACCGATTTTACCTCCAGAGCTTCCGCGTGAGCCCCAGTAGTGCCCAAGGTAGAACCTTGTCAAGAGCAATACCTGCAGCTTGGCGGCTCTATGTACCCAGCACTGGTGTTGGCCGCGTCGTCGCAGAGCATCACAGTTGCCTAACAAGGGAACCCTCTTATAAGTACGTATGCATCGATGCTCTTTGCGGACAACCCCCTCTATCGTTGCCGATACGCTATAGCAAAAATTTCAAGATGTGTCATGGTAACGACATGTAACGAATACCCGCTACTTGCTACGGCCGGCAGAATACATCCGTAGTGGGAGGGACAAGAGGTCCCGAGTTCCTTTGAACAGTGCGCTCGTATAGCGGTGCATCTTCAGCCGCGGCCTATTCGTGTGACTTTTGGCTTGAGCATAAAACCTGACCAACTGCAAGCCTCCAACAGAAACCTTCCAAAAATCTGCTATGAAGTCCCCGCGGCATTGCCATCGATGTTCCAGCCGGTCTCACAGAAGGCAGTACAAATGTCCCCGAATGTTTGGTTCACGCAGGAGTCGTCAAACCTTCGTTGTCCAAGGCTCAGGCTGGTCTGGGAGGCGAAAGATTCTCGGACTTATGTGCGGATTTCCCTTTCCGGGAGTCCTTGTAATGAGGATGAAAGGATATTGGGGTTCCCTTTTTGATGAAAACCTCCCTGTAAGACAGTCCCGGAACTTCGAGATACTACGTAGGTAAGTCTTGAAGGCGGCACCCAGACGGCCTGCACGTAGAGTGCCCGTTGATCAAACAAGCCGAAAAAGACCTTCGAAACCCCTTCGTTCTGGTTGCCACTTCTTTTTTCAGGACACGGGCTCATCCTTTCAGTTAACATGGCCGCACAAATAGAGGAAGTAGACCTTCCCTCTTTTCCCAAAACACTTCAGCTCCCGTCACCCCAGAAATACTTCAGCCTTCCACTCAGAAGACCTTTTACCGAGGACTGCTCATCGCTCGTTCCCCGACTGTGGACTCGGAAGTCCCCTGAATGCAGGAAGGAACAAAGGCACTTTCCTATTCTAGGGCATTGTGAAAGGATTGTCTAAGGACCAACTCCCACACTCCCTTTTAGCAGCTTTAGCACCACTACGTACTGTTAACACCCAGCGAGCTACAAGACCAACAGCGTTCAACATGAGGGGTGGGAAAGACTTGGCGTTTGCCAAGCATCCGCTTGCAACCAATGTTGTGCGGATCTAAGTGAGAGCTTTCATGGCACACGGCTGCACGCGCCGTTACGCACGTCAGACGTATGCCACCACAGCTCAACGGGGTACGTACTAATTAAAGCTTGAGGCCCATCTGCTTGTTCACAGTTACAGTGTGGTAAACAGGTATCCCCAACCCTGAATTAGCCCGGCGGCCGCGCTTCGTCAAAAGGGGCAATCATGGAAAGTTTGCCGCATGGCTTTGGAAAGCACGAGAAATTGCCTTCCAGTGAGAGCAGTAGGTCTAGTATCATGTCTGGCTAAAACAGAACCTAGGGTTGCAACTCTGAAATCTGGCATATGTGGGCATACGGTTTATGTGAATGCTACCGTAGTTCTAGCGGCAAGGCATTCAGCACGGCTGTCCTTCACAAGCAGTCCGACTCTACCATGAACCCTCGCTCCAACGATTCTCAAATCTTGCACTCTAGAAGAAGGATTGAAGCGCCTGTTCCGTGGACAGCACAAGTTTGGTGGCCTAGATATGACTAGCTCGAATAGGTGGGGTGCCACCCCCTCAAGTTTTCAAGAAAATTGTGTTCGAATTCTTCAAGCTTCAC